ATGCAAGTAACCCAAGCTCAGCAGGGGGGTGGCCGCCCAGCCCTGGCTCTCAGAAGCCTACGACCCAACTCCAAGCTCGTATCAGGCTGTGGGACCCCCCGGGAGCGCAAAGCCTGCTGAGCACCAGGGTCACAGGCCTGCCTGCTCATCTCCGCGCCAGGCCCTGGGCCATGGAGGTGCTGCAGCAGAGGCTCCCTTGGAGCTGACTAGCAAAGGCCCCGTGTGTCTTGGTAGATGTTTGGGCCCGAGCAAAAGGGTCTCACTTGTTCCAGGGGCCCAGGGGCCCATAAATCCAATCTGGCCACTTACAAATATTTGCGGTGGTGGGCATCTGGTCAGCAGGCCAGGTCTGCACCGCACCAGGGCAGCTCCTCCATTCGTTTTGTCTCTGAATCTCCCAGGCTGGTCCCCTAGGTGTGACGCTGGCAGGATGGGGTGGGGGTCTGGGCTGGAATGGGAGAGTCCGTCTGACTCAAAGTTGCCCCTAGTGCCTCTGCCATGGTCCCCAGGGATCCCTGTTTGTGTCATTCCTTGTCAGAGGGAGACTCCCAGATCGTAGCCATGCACCTTGGCACACACACCAGCCCTCCCTTCCAGGGGGGTCAGCGTTAACCGAGGGACAAGCACCTCCCTCATCAGACCCAGGGCAGGATCTCTGGCAGGGGCTACAGCTTCCCGTGCCCTAGCACAGCATGCAGCAAAACAGTCCCCCCCGCATGCCTGGCTAGACACACATCAACTCTGCCCCGCACCAGTGTGATCCCTCCCCCACTGGGTCAGTCTAACTTGTCTGTGCTCTGCTCTGGTTCTAGCATGTGGTGTGAGCGCAGGGTGGTGGGTGGGTGACATGCTCTCAGCTCCTATGAGCTCCAGGCTGGGTCTCCTTCGCCAGCGGCTGGTTCTCTAAGCCACTTCCTCTCTGCCTTTACTCAGAGCTCCTGCATCTTCCTTTGTTTTCTCTCAGTCTTCTGGGTTGGTTCCTCATCCTGTCCTCACTATGATGTTGCACTACATGTGTTTTATGGAAATATGTTTATAAATGTGAATATGATGTAACTGGAATATGCTTCATGCAAAAGGTCTCTTGTAAGGTTTCATTACAAAGCTTATGATCTACTGAGTGTGATTATCCTATTTGTTTGCATGTATTATTTCTATGTCTGGAGTTAGGAGAATAAGATATAAACTTGTGTTACTGATGTAAACATGTTAAGTGGAAGCCATTAAGGGTGCTTCAGAATCAATGAACTGTGAATGGGTTTGTTTACCTGCAAGCCTTCCTATGTACACATCTTCCAGCTCCTAGGTAATGAAGAAGGTCTTAAAGTGACATGTGATCATGTCACCTGAACTGGAATCCATCTTAAACCTGGTGCTTCTTCATTTAGAAGGAGGGGTGGGGACCCAGAGAGACAAAAGACTCCCGCCTTGTGCCAAAGCTATAAAAGGGGGTGGAACAGAACAAATGGGGCTGCCAGTCATGAGAAAACCCCTAGTTACCACCTGAGCTGGAACTAACAAGAACTGTACCAGGGGAAAGGATTGGGCCCAGACTAAGAAGGAGTCTAGTCTGTGAAAGAAGCTTATTGGAACATCTCTGAGGGTGAGCTATTACCTGTATTCAGTCTCTTAAATGTATTAGGCTTAGACTTGCGTGTTTTATTTTATTTTGCTTGGTAACTTACTTTGTTCTGTCTGTTATTACTTGAAACCACTTAAATCCTACTTTTTATACTTAATAAAATCACTTTTGTTTATTAATTAACCCAGAGTAAGTGATTAATACCTGGGGGAGCAAACAGCATTGCATATCTCTTTATTAGTGTTAGAGAGGGCGGACAATTTATGAGTTTACCCTGTATAAGCTTTTATATAGAGTAAAACAGATTTATTTGGGGTTTGGATCCCATTGGGAACTGGGTGTCTGGGTGCTGTAGACAGGAGTATTTGCTTAGCTGTTTTCAGTTAAGTCTGCAGCTTTGGGACTGTGGTTCAGACCCTGGGGCTGTATTGCAGCAGGCTAGCGTGTTTGGCTCAACAAGACAGGGCTCTGGAGTCCCAGGGCTCTGGAGTGACAAAGAAAACAGGCTCAGAGGTAATTTCAGCACATCAGGTGACAGTCCCAAGGGGGTCTCTGTGACCTAACCCACCACACCCACATCCATTCATTGTTTCATTCCTCCCAGGGCTCAGTGAATCGTGTGGGTTTGCCTGACACCCCCCCCCAGTGGCATGAAGAGTGGCAGGGAGGAGGAGAAAGGAGGGTCCAGGGAAGGAGGTCTTGCTCCAGCTCCACAAATGGCACTAACAATGGCAGGGGGAGAAGGGCAGTCCTTGCTCCACAGGGGGGGAGGGTCTGGCTGGGTCACAGGTGCACTGCACGCACACAGCACAGGCAACGTGCTGTCCCTGTTGGATTGGGGCTCACCCCCTACTTATGGTGTCTCTGCAGCACTGCACCAGAGGCCTCCTCCCTCCTTGGTGCCCCTGTGCTAGTTCTGGGCATGATGATGAGACACCCTGGCTGCTGGTGCTGGTATGGGACCTGCTGCTCAGGATGGGAGTGAGGGACTTGCTCACACTCACCTCCCCAAAGCACCCACCAGCTGCCCCCTGCAGGAGCATGAACAAGTGCTCTTACTCCCTATTGCTGCTGCTCTACCCTGTCCCTGCTGATTGCTCCAGGGACCATGCCTGCAGGGCAGGAGATGTGCCCCATTGACTATGTGGGCTGAGGCAGGCCAAGCCTTTCTCCAGCTGTCATCTTCCAGCCAGCCAGAGCCCAGCTGCTGGGAGGAGGGGACTGAGCTGGAGCCTTCCTCTAGGGCAGAGACAAAAGAGCCCTAAACAGGGGAACCAGACCCACTTGGGTTGTGTGAGGGAGGGCAGCCACTGGCTCATTGGTGCTGGGGTAAAGGGCAGAGGAGGCCAAATTGCTCAGAGCTTGGGCCAGGCTGAATGTCAATTTGCCTGGCCCAAGCTTGGTTCTCCCTCCTCAAATACTGTAATACTGGCTCTGCAGGCAAACTGCCTCCAGTTCCAGCTGAGCACACATCCAGCCCCCTGCCTTCGGGGCCTCGCATTGGCCAGTAAACAATCCCATTGATGAGGCAGGAGGATAACGTGGCTGGATCTCAGCTGTGCTGACTCTGCTGAGTGCACGCAGGGCAGAGCCAGCTGTGCTTTGACACTGGTACTGTGCTGACCCCCACCCCACATTGGAATTAAAGTACATCCTGGGCCCCACAGGGGTTAGAAAAGGCAAGTTATTGCTGCAGCTCTGCCTTGCGGCGATTTCCCAGTTGTGGGATTTGCTGCCCGAGCTCTGGCCATGAGGAGAAATCTCTCCAGTACGGCTGCTTCTCCAGCAAACTGGGCAGCCTTTCCCCAAAGTCAGGAGGCACCTGCCTGCCTGAGTGCTGCTGCCTCGGCTGCCCATCTGAGTCTGCCAAACACGCCTGTGCCTAGATGATTCCTTTTGCTGGGCCAGCACTGTTCTGCTGCAGATATTCCTAACCTTCTTCCTTAGGGGTAGGGCAGCGCCCATGTGCAGAACATCAGTAACATTAGTTACCAAGTAGCCAGAAAGCAAAAGGCCCCTCTGTGATCTGACCCAGCCACCCTGCAGAATCCAGCTTTCCTCAGGCAAGAAGAGGGATTTGCACATGGTGAGACCACACACCTAGTACAACGCTGCTCTTTGAGCAACCCACTGACAGCACCTCTTCTTGGGCTGCCCCAGTACACAGGGACAGTCAGGAGTTAAGGAGCCGAAAGACACTGCTACAGCTGAAAGTCAAGGCATCAATCCCCCCACCTCCCCCTTTAGTTTCTTTGTGCAGTAACTGAACCTTGTAATGGTGCTTTGTTTTAGAAGAGGGGGAGGAAATACAGCTGTTAGGGCAGCATTTCCTATTGCCCCGTGACTGCAGTGATCCCCACAGACATGCCCACTGCATTTCAGGTGTGTTCAGCAAAGCCACTGCTGTTAGTGGAGAGGGTCCGAACCCTCCTTGTACTAGAATATGCCTTGACACACCACATTCAGATGGAGGTATGACTGAAAACATGTGTCATCAGAAATGGTGGGGTAAAATATGACTAGTGTAATTAGCCCAAGAACAAGCATTACACATACAGGAAATTGAGAGCTGAGGTAGAACCTGAATCCAAACATGTCAAGGTCCAGAACTGCACAGTTAGGGTAGCCAAACAACTTTGGCTTTGCTCTGCAGTGACTTCCCATTATAGCCATATGAATGACTGGGATTAAGGCATTTAGTGTCTGGGATCCCAGATTAGATCACACTAAGGCTATATCTACACTACCGCAGTAAATCAACCTATGCTATGCAACGCAAGTCCAGCTGCGTGAGGTTGAGTTACCGCGGGGTCTTACCTTACTCTTCTCAGCAGGGGTAGAGTATAGGGGGTCAACTGGAGAACGATCTGCAGTCGATTTAGCGGGTCTTTCCTAGAGGGTACCACATAATGGAGAGCTAGGACAGGTGCCCCTTCTTTAGAAACATCAGCCAGAAACCAAGCTGGACCTAATGGATCTTTCCTAGACCCGCTAAATCGACTGCCAGTGGATCAATCTCAGAGCATTGAGCCCTGCTGTAGTGTAGACCTGCCCTGAGTTTTAGAGCCAGCAGATTTTCTCTCCTCACTGCCCCTCCCCAGTCACTCCAGGGCAGAGTTAAAGCTGAAGTTTGAAAAGGCAGGCCTGGCTCCCTGAAGTGAAGAGGTGTTGTGACACAGCGTTGCAATGCTTAACTATATAGGTGCCTACAAAAGTCACAGGAATACACGGGTATCCACACAGCCTGAGTTTAGCACCTACTCTCCCTGTACAATGAATGGGGGGGAGAGAGGAGCCTAAGAATGGGATTTGCAAAAGTCAACACAGTAGGCATGGAACCTCCGAAGCTAGCCAATGGGAGGACCCATAACATGGTATTTCAACAATGCTTGGTTTAAGAAAAACTGAATGAATTACCTTCCTTGTAGTGAAGCTTTATTTTTTTTAATCACCTTTATCAAGCACACATCAGCTCAGCAACAGTGCATAAGGGAGTACATCAGCTTAGATCTAATCTGAACAAAGGCATGTGTTTACAGACCAGATTACAGCAAAAAGAAAAGATAAGAAACAGGCTGAGAGACTGTCACAGTAGATACAGTGCTCCTGTGAAGAGTGGATGGAGGCTAGTGCGGAGCAAAATTAAACCAGCTCGGGCTTGTGTTTGGTTTGAGGAGTAACTGGCAGTGAACAGCTACACAGCTCTTCACCCAGAATCATGGCCTTTGCATTTCCTGACAAACAGGCTGCAGACTGTTTGCATCTCTGAGTGCTGCTATACAGCTACCTTGGGGTGTCAGTAGAGTAGCCTCTAGGTCACAGTCTGGCACAAGAGTAACCAGGTGTCAGTCAGTACCACATAATGGAGAGCTAGGGTAGGTGCCCCTTCTTTAGAAACATCAGCCAGAAACCAAGCTGGACCTAATGGATCTTTCCAGCATGAGCTGCGGCACATTTCAGTGTAGTTGAGGATTGTACAGCATAAACAGGATCCCTCTTCAGTTGCTGTATCAGCAGTTGGGCTGCCTAAGCACAGGTAGCAGACTTCCACTCCAGGAGCGTGCTGTTCACTGGAGTTGGCACAAGCTCACAGAACGCTATGTGACCCCAGAGAGGGAGCACGCCTGGCTCCCACAAATTTCTGAACACCATGCATGGGCGGAAGCAATGTGAGATGGAGGAGCAATAGAGGAGGCCCTTAGCAGTCAAAACTCCTCACACACAGGCTGGACTGCAGTTCAGGCTGCCCTGCCGCTGGAGAGCCAGAGCATCATGCCCCGGAGCTGAGCCCCTCTCGCCACCGCAGCCCGGGCTCAGCTCCCGGGGATGATGCTCTGGCTCTCCAGGGACAGGGCAGCCTGAACTGCAGTCCAGCCTGTGCAACTCAGGCTGCCATGAGCGCCATCTAGCTACTGAAGCCAGAACTGCAGTGTCAGTTCTAGCTCAGCCGGAAAGCTTCAGCTGACAGGGAACATCTTGCTTCAGGGCCAGCTCCTGGCTTTTTGTGCCCCAAGCAAAAAAAGTGGGGGGGACTGGAGTGCCGCCCCTTGGAAATTGCCACCCCAAGCACATGCTTGGAGAGCTGGTGCCTAGAGCCAGCCCTGCACGCTGGAGGAGACTGGGCGTGTGGGGTGTGTGTGTTCGGCCATTGCTCTGCTCTAGTCAGACAACTCTTGTACAAACCGCAGCAGGAGCTGGGTGACGCTCATTGTCCTGACTGGCCAGGAGACTGTTCCCTCGTCTGACAGCTCCCCTCTGCTGACTCAGTCTCCCTTGTACAAACTGGTGACAGCATTTCATTCCACTTCCTCTCCATGCACGTATCCCTCTGCCCCAAACATCTCAGCACAACCATGGAAAGTGAACTCTATCTGCTAATGCCCTGATTTTCTCCCCATTTCACTGAACCCCTGGAAGTCTCCTACATATTCCAACTGTATTGTGCTACAAGTGCAGCATTGAGTCTACAGCTGACATCTTTCCCCAGTACACTGGCAGAGCATGAGCTGATGCACCATTCTTTTTTCTTTGCTGACGCAGTATTGTACTATCCCAAAGGTCATGTCTGATTGACCTTAAGTCCCTAAAGACTGTGCACTATGGCTAATAGCCAGCTTTGTACCTACCCCCATGGCCATCATGCCCATGTTAAACTACATCAATGGAATGCATTTTACATATGGATATTCGTGACTAAATATCTTCTACTCCACATTCACCACCCTGAGAGCAATCAGTGAAGTTGCTAGAGGTTCTTGGTGGAGAACAGTCTTAGTTGAAGGTTATGGGCACTACAAAGTCCTCCAGAGTGAAAACATGGTAAATAAATATGGAAACTTCAGAGTCTGAGCTGCCATTGAATGTCTGACGGCTAGCAGGAGCTAACAAACAAGGCATAGATAGAGGATCAACAATTTCCCAGTACTCCTGCTCTATATGATCCCAGAATTCCCAGAGTTTAGGACTGAAGCTGTGACGTCTGCACATGATACTTTCAGGCACAGATCTTTGCAGACTGGAGCAGAACAATAGGCTGCAAAGGGCTGGGATGAAAACATAACAGCTCACAGGGCAGAGACTTGAGGCAATGGAGATCAACCATGAGCATCCAAGATCTCCAGACTAAAGTCCTGGTTTCTTCTGTGGAGAGCTTGAAGTACTTGACTCAGCAATCAGCTCTCCTTGAAATGGCCACACAGCATTGTCACATTGATTGATGTACGCACGTAGCACCTGATAGTCCAGCCTGACTGAATCCCACTTGCCCAGCCTGAACATGGCCCATGCTGCTGAAACTACGTTTTCATTTTAAAGAGTATTTTTCTAGTCCTGCTGGTTGGAGGGAAAACCTTAAATGGGAATGAAGTGTGAATAGTGCAGCAGCTGCTGTTACGACATGGAACCTTTAGGGGGAGCTCCATTCCTTGTCTCAGCACTAGTCAATGGAGGAGTCCTGGCAAGCTCTTTCTACCTGCCCCAGACTCCTCCTAGCTGGCGCCCCATCCCTAGGCACAGGCAGGGAGAGTTACTGTAGGTACATGACACAGACTCCGCAGAGCAGGGAGGAAGAGACAGGAGACTCCTGCCAGCAAGGAAGCCTTTAGTCTCAGTAGGCTACGGTGGCTGCTGAGCTTTGAAGACAGAGAGGCAAATTTGGTGGGGCCAGGGAGAGAACTGCTTTGTCTTTGTGGGGGGGGGGGAAGAACCTGGTGGCAAAGAGGAGGGGACCGAGGTGGAGCGTGTCTGAGCGTGTGGGGTGTTAGTAGCAGTGAGTGAATGGTGGGGAGGTAGAAGATCAGGAGGGGGATGATAGTATTTGTGATGAGGGCACTAAATCTTCTCTTCCATCCCTAGAGCCATGTTCAGCTCCAAGGAGATACAAACTGTGCCCAGCAAGCTGGGGTTCTGCGTGGTGCGTAACTAGGGCGAGAGCAGGCCAGAGACAATGGTAGGAACGGAATGGCTCAGCTGCGAAGAAAGCTGTGTCTACACAGATCCCAGCTCTGAGCAAAAGGCTCAGCTGAAAAGTGCTTTGGCAGCAGCGTTCTTTGGCTGTCTACACTAGCACTTCTGTCCATCAGGGGTGTGAAAAGCGACCACCTTGACCTACATAAGTTACACTGATGGAAGTGCCGGTGTGGACGCTCTCCTGCCAACACAGCTACCGCCATTCATTGGGGCTGATTTAATTATGCTGACAGGAAAGCTCTCTCCTGTGGGCATAGAGCAGGTATACAGGAGGCCTTACAGTGGTGCAGCTGCAGCAGTACAGCCGTGCTGCTGTAAGGTCTGTAGTGTAGACATAACCTGAGTGTGCAGCCTGTTTGGAAACCAAAAAAAGTGAGAGCTGCCAGGGATCAGACAATGAACAGGAGAGCTAATGCATTTGCTTATACTGGGGGCCTGGCTCTGCTATGATCCAGCAGTACAGGAGACAGACTCCTGCTGCCCTTAGACTAGGTCTACGACGGTACGGGGGGGGGGGGGGGGAGGGTGAGTCGACCTAAGATACGCAACTTCAGCTATGTGAATAGCGTAGCTGAAGTTGCGTATTTTAGGTTGACTTACCTGGCTGTGAGGACGGCGGAGAGTCCGACCGCTGCCGCTTCACCGTCGACTCCTCTT